GTCTACAAGAGACTCATTTTAGACAGAAGGACACCTACAACCTGAAAATAAAAGGTTGGAGAACCATTTACCATTCAAATGGTTCTCAAAATATACCCTAAAAACTACAGAACACTTCTGAAAGAAATTGAGGAAGACACAAAGAGATGGAAAAATATTCCATGCTCATGGATTGGCAGAATTAATATTGTGAAAATGTCAATGTTACCCAGGGCAATTTACACGTATAATGCAATCCCTATCAAAATACCATGGACTTTCTTCAGAGACTTAGAACAAATTATTTTAAGATTTGTGTGGAATCAGAAAAGACCCCAAACAGCCAGGGGAATTTTAAAAAAAGAAAACCATATCTGGGGGCATCACAATGCCAGATTTCAGGTTGTACTACAAAGCTGTGTTCATCAAGACAGTGTGGTACTGGCACAAAAACAGACATATAGATCAATGGAACAGAACAGAGAACCCAGAAGTGGACCCTGAACTTTATGCTCAACTAATATACGATAAAGGAGGAAAGACGATCCACTGGAAGAAAGACAGTCTCTTCAATAAATGGTGCTGGGAAAATTGGACATCCACATGCAGAAGAATGAAACTGGACCACTCTCTTGCACCATACACAAAGATAAACTCAAAATAGATGAAAGATCTAAATGTGAGACAAGATTCCATCAAAATCCCAGAGGAGAACTCAGGCAACACCCTTTTTGAACTTGGCCACAGTAACCGGAGAAGGACAAACAGTGTATGTTCTCATTCATTTGGGGAATATGAATAATAGTGAAAGGGAATATAAGGGAAGGGAGAAGAAATGTGTGAGAAATATCAGAAAGGGAGACAGAACATAAAGACTTCTAACTCTGGGAAATGAACTAGGGGTGGTGGAGGGGGAGGAGGGGGGGGGTGGGGTGAATGGGTGACGGGCACTGAGGGGTACACTTGACGGGATGAGCACTGGGTGTTATTCTGTAAGAACTATTTCCCAGTTTGCTGTAGCCTTGAGGGTCTTGTAGATGCAAGCCCCAGTGGCTTTCAAAGCTAGATGTTTTCAGGGATTGTTTCTTGGGTGTAGCTTTTAACAGTTGGGGTGCCAGATGTGGGTGGGGTTCATACCTTTTGCTGCTCAGGGAGAAGCTTGGAGTTGTGAGTACCTTCCTGTTGTGGGTTGCTGTACCAGGGATGGGGCGTATGGCAGGATCAAATCTCAACCTCTCCTACTTTTTGCAACATAGGTTTATTTTCATTCATCCAATGCATGGGAATGGCTCAGGCAGTTTTTGGTTTCTTTCAGAGGAAAGTGTCCCATATGTAGCTATAGATTTGGTGTTTTTGGTCCCACAGAATGTGGGAGGAGATGAATTCAGGATACTCCTATATTGCCACCTTGAACCAGAACTTGGTAAACTAATTTTTGATGTAACTTAAAAGTTTGTTTCAGATATTCCATCTATAGCACCTATTATCAAAATGAGAGAACCTTGATGACAACCTAAATCCATTCCTGTCCTTTCCAAGTTGTCCAAACTACTGTAGCATTGCTCTTGGTGGAGTTCATTAAATCCTAAACTAAAAAATGCCAGTGTATATACAAAAGTGGGAGGAGGTGGTTGCACCTGGCTGAGTCAGTTGGGGGAGCATGTGACTTTTGATCTTGGTGTCATGAGTTTGAGCCCCACGTTGAATGCAGAGATTACTTTTAAAAAAAATGCCAGTGTATTAATTTACAAGAAGATACTTAGCTATGCAAGGGACTCAATAGTTTTGTCTCATGGTCAAACTCCATGAGAAAGTTACAATCACAAGATTTCTTGTAATTAATGGTGTCTATTGCTAACAACAGGAGTGAACATTTACTGACCAGTTAGTATATTTCAGGCTCTGTGGCAAGTGCTTGCCATGCATGTTCTCCTCACATCAACTCTGATGTAGGCAATATTATCACACTTTTGCAGATAAGGAAACTAAGGCTTTGGATTATTAAATAACCTTAAGCTCCTAGAGCTGAGTGGTACAGCTAGGCTGTAAGTCCACACTGAACCTGACACCATACCCCTCATCTCAGAATTTCAGGAATACAGTTAAGAAAAGGCCATTTTAATTTTTTTTCCATTTTGATCTTTTGTTTTTTTTTAATAAATTAATTTTTATTGGTGTTCAATTTACCAACATACAGAATAACACCCAGTGCTCATCCCGTCAAGTGTCCCCCTCCGTGCCCGTCACCCATTCACCCCCACCCCCCGCCCTCCTCCCCTTCCACCACCCCTAGTTCATTTCCCAGAGTTAGAAGTGAAAAGGCCATTTTAAATGTTACACATCACCTTCCAGTTTGTTCACTCAGTGACAAATCATCTTAACCAGTGAGAAGAAGCTACAATGAAAAAAAATGACCCTGCACTATTCCCAGGTCATTATACTTAGTAATTATTTACAGCAGAAAACTACTAGACATAGATTGGTTTCCTTCAGAAAAGTTGAAAATGAAATGTAAAAGTCTTGACACTTGGCAACAAAATCTTTGTCTCAAAGGTTAAGCGTTGCCTTTTGCTTTGTTTCCTAACTGACTCTTTGTTGCCTGTGCCCGCCTGGCCCCCCTGCACAGAAATTACTAAATGCCCTATTTCCTTCTCACATATTCAACACGTAGCAGCTGTGTAACCTCTGTTTTCAGGTAATTTGTCCTCCTGCCTTTTCTAAAAGTTTCATCTATATTTATTCCTACTACTTGGTACGTATCCTTTTGATTTTTAGGTAGGACCCAACCATAAACATCAGTCATGATTTAACAACCCAATTACACATTTATTCATTGGATACCAGTGGCATTATTCTTTGAAGAAATATTTTCACTGTGCCCTTCTCAGGAGATCTTTTGACACATTAGGGTAAGTACAGATATGTACCAGTCAGGTCACAGTGTAAATCCCAGGTCACTACACATTCCCAAGATTCACTTTCATCACCTATAAAATGGAAGTGATATGTACCACCTTCCAGGCCCTTCTACTGGCTCAGGAGGCTTTTCCTCTCCAGGCAAGGTAAGCCAGAGACTTCCAGATGGGTCAAAGTCTCAGATGTCTCATAGCAAGTGGGGAAGCTAAGCCAGTGACTGTAACACCACTTGTCAAATATCAGTACTTTTCCTTAAACCACAGTAATACCAATAAGAAGGTGTTTGCGCCCATCATCTCTAAGCAAAGGCAGTCTTTGGCTTCCTACCAGACACTGCAATGGAGAGAACCTATCAAGTAACTGGACATCGGGTTTCATTATTAAATTGGAAAAAAAAAAAAAAGCCTCTGTTTTAAACCACAAGGGGGCAGGGCTGGTGTGCTTATATATATTTTAGGTAGCTTGTGCATACCTGATTGTAGGGACAGGGAGATACATATTCTTTATAAAACCTAGTGTAAATGGACTTGTAAGCTCTCCAGATTAATAATAGTCATGCTATAATTTGCATGTTACTTCACAGTTACAAAGCTCCTTCACTGGCATTATTAGGTCAGTGTGATACTTCAGAGCCCACCTTAATTCAGTGCTTGGAAGATAACCTTTAGCACTAGATTGCAATTCCAAAAATAGTAGTGCAGTTATGTGGAGCATATTTAATTTTCAGTTGCACTCCCATGTTGATACAGGTGAAGGAGAAATTTTATATTAGGCAGTGTAATACTAAATACAGAAATATGATAGGCTAAATTAGTATGTGACTCATGAGGAAAATCTAGTAGCAAAATACCGGAATATTAATCGAGAGAGGACTCAATAGTCTTAATAAATGCTAAGAAGCTGATGAAAAGTGACTTCTTTAACATCCCTTATCACAGGGAATCGGCCTACTTCATGAATGTCTCAGCCCGGTGAATTCACCAGTAATCTTTGCACACCCATGCTCTGGGGGAGGGGCACCCAGGTTGGTGATATGGGCTCATATTGGGGAGGGAAGCTCAGCTCTGGAGCCACTATGCTTCTTACTCTTCCCTCATCTCTTTAGCAGGTGGAAAGCTTTGGTGTGAAGTATGCAGAAAATTCCAGGAGCTGTGCAGTTATGTGGCAGTTCTATGAGGTAAAACCTTCTCGACCCAAACCCACACCTACTTTAGCTTGACTTAGTAGCATAACTACTGTGCCAGTTACTTGATAGCAAATTCTGAGGTTTCTTTCCCCAAGCCATCCTGAATGGAGAAAAATAACTTATACCCTGGCAATGCAGGAGAGCCTTCCACACCCTGCCCAGAGACACAGCCTTGTTCAATAAACTTGAACTGCATGACTCCACCACCATCACAAGCACTGTGTTTCTCTGGTACAGCGGTTTTCAAAGCATGGTTCCTGGGACCAGCAGCATCTCCTTGGGAAAGGTGAACCATTCAAGATCTACTAAGTCATGGGGATGGGGCTGACAATCTGTGCTTTAACAAACCCTCCAGTGAGTCTGCTGTACAGGTTTGAGAACTACCACCCATGTCCCATTTAGTCCGTCCATCTGTGTTAAGGGATATATAGCTGTCTAAAAGACCAGACTGGGAAGACTGTCAGGACCAGGTCACTTGGCAGAGTTGCCAGGTGGTGGGGTTTAGGTCACCACCCCAGTACTAGGAAGCATGTCCAGTGTCCTCTGAATCTATGATGTTGTGTGACAAGCAAACTGTTGAATCATCACCATCTAGAAAATGCCGGAGTAATAACTTGTTTTTCTAGATCTTTTGCCAGACTTCTCAGTCAGTCAACATGAAGATTTTGAAGTACTCTGGATTTTCCACCCTCATATTAAAGTAACATACATCATGGTTTCTCTTATATGAACTGATGAGCACTGAATTTCTCACATGCTCCAGATATTCATGCAAAGAAAAGTCTTAATCATTAGTTCTGGTACTCAGAATGAGGCTGTACCCGGAAAAACCAATAGAGGCTTGCATTTTTTCAACCCAAAGTTTTTGCCAGATATGATGTTTTGTGTTAGAAGAAATTAAAAAAAAAATCTTACAAACCTAGGTGCACCTGTTTTATATATTCAATCAGTGAAGCTTTGTTTTTATTCCAGAAGAACGGAAGCTTCTCCTCATGAGGATATTTACAGCATGACAGCTCCAACGTAATCTCAAAACACTGCTCCCAGATGTAGTTGTAATCTTGCATTCCACCTAAACACAAGCATATTTAATTTTTTAAGTCTGAAATTGAAGTAGTGTTAAGTATCCCAAACCTTGGGGACAAGTGAATCAGACAGTTACAAGGAAAGTACATGTAAACAGGAGAAGATGAACTTGACGTATTAGCATTATAGAATCAGGACCTGACATCTTATTAGCCAGGTGTGAACAGGCGATCTAACACTCCCACGTGGGTACCTGGGTCGGAGCAGACTAAAGTTCAGCTGTGTGCCACCTGAGGGGAGGGGAAGGGTCAGTCCTATTTTTTTTCCAATCATAACTTACAAAAAGGATTCATCAGTGTACATTTCTTCTGTACACTGTACACTTCTAGCTATATCCTAGACAGATATGGAATGATACTTCTAAAAAAAACTGCTTAGAAACCATAACTACACTTCTTATGTGAAGCTACATACACTCATTCGGAGGAATGCCAATGGCTAAGGGTCAGCGAGCATGTGCCGTCAGCGGGTACTAGCTGAGGAGTCTGTTAGGCAGCTACTCCCCAGGTTTTACAGACAGACCATCACAGGTGTCAAGGAACGTGCCAGTGAGTGCAGAGCCCAGCACGCAGGCCCTTCTGTCCAGGCCCCGTGCTCTTACCCACTAGGCTGAGCTGCATCTGGGGGTGAGAGAGAGGGTGCAGGGCAGCTCTCAGGAGCGGAGGGACCCAGGCCCCCTGAGGCCACTGGTGCCCAAGCTCACCGTCCAGTTCTCACCTATGGAGACTATTTCTAAAGGGTCATAATCCTGTTTCATATTTTCTAAGATGCAAAAATTTTCATATTTAAAAATCTCTGAGTGGGGAGGTGTGTTAAATTTGATGGCTGAAAAACCCAATTGTCATTAGTTTGGCCAGAAACGTTTTTCTTTCATCCTTGGAGGTACGGTGTTTTATCCTCAGTGGCATCTTGGATTTGGTGAAATCACTGCAGGCCAGCAGGGTACTTGGGAAGTACTGACTTAGCAAAAAGCCTCATGCTAAGAAAATAGTCAAACTATTATCAACATGTTATTTACGTTAAGTAGCAGCTGCGGAGGTCTAGATTCTAGCGGGAAGGATTTCTCTGTTCTTGGTACTTACTTCCCTTCTAAGGCTTGTACTTGTGTTTCTCTCTGACCTCGTTTTCACCAAGAAATAGAGGAAGAGACAGAAAGCCGAAGTCCTGTGGGGGGGGCTCTCGGAGCCGGTGGGAGCTGCGCACGCAGGGTTCATAGCTCGGTTCATAGCTCGTCCCCAGGGTTAGAGACCCTGCCTGCGGGTGGGGGGGGGGACGGAGGGCCACCCCGATGGGGCCAGGCCGCACAGGTCCCGCTTGGGGCTCTCGGGTGCGGCCTGCGGACCCCAGGCCACCATGGGGAGCGCGCATGGTTGAGGGGTGGCAGCTCTGGGGGGGGCGGGGGGCTCCCCTCAGGGCCCGGCCTCCGGCCCTGCCGCCGCTCCCGGCCTGCATTTCTCCTCCTACCCCCGGGCTGCCACCTACCTTAGTCCTTCTATGGGAACATTACCGCCCCCGCCCCCGGGATCCCTGCGCCGGGGGGGGGGGGTGTCCCCGTGCCCTCCCTCACCTGCCCCCCTATTCCCAGAGCCGAGGAGCCCGGGGGGGGGGGGACCCACCTCTGAGCGGATACCAGGCGTAGCCATTGGTGATTCCGTTGGGGAAGTCCATCTTGTCCTTACACTGATCTCCCTTCTTCATGGTGGGGTTTCTCGAGGCGTAGACGTCGGCGAGGTGTTGGAAGACATCGTCGTCGGGGGTCAGGCTGCGGGAGTGGGACGTCCCGGTGGCTGCGGGGGACCCACACGTCTCGGCGGGCGCCCAGCGGGAAGCACCTGGCGCTGCCGCCTCCCGTGCGAAGGCCCCTCCTCCCGGACGAGGCCGGGGCTCCTCGGGGGAGCCCCCTGCGCCCCTCCTCCCCACGAGGCCGGGGCTCCTCGGGGGGCCCCCTGCGCCCCTCCTCCCGGACGAGGCCGGGGCTCCTCGGGGGGCTCCCTGCGCCCCTCCTCCCCACGAGGCCGGGGCTCCTCGGGGGCTCCCTGCGCCCCTCCTCCCGGACGAGGCCGGGGCTCCTCGGGGGCTCCCTGCGCCCCTCCTCCCCACGAGGCCGGGGCTCCTCGGGGCTCCCTGCGCCCCTCCTCCTGGACGAGGCCGGGGCTCCTCGGGGGGCTCCCTGCGCCCCTCCTCCCCACGAGGCCGGGACTCCTCGGGGCTCCCTGCACCCCTCCTCCCCACGAGGCCGGGGCTCCTCGGGGGGCTCCCTGCGCCCCTCCTCCCCACGAGGCCGGGGCTCCTTGGGGCTCCCTGCGCCCCTCCTCCTGGACGAGGCCGGGGCTCCTCGGGGGGCTCCCTGCGCCCCTCCTCCCCACGAGGCCGGGGCTCCTCGGGGGCTCCCTGCGCCCCTCCTCCCCACAAGGCCGGGGCTCCTCGGGGCTCCCTGCGCCCCTCCTCCCCACGAGGCCGGGGCTCCTCGGGGGCTCCCTGCACCCCTCCTCCCCACGAGGCCGGGGCTCCTCGGGGCTCCCTGCACCCCTCCTCCCCACGAGGCCGGGGCTCCTCGGGGGGCTCCCTGCGCCCCTCCTCCCCACGAGGCCGGGGCTCCTCGGGGCTCCCTGCACCCCTCCTCCCCACGAGGCCGGGGCTCCTCGGGGGCTCCCTGCGCCCCTCCTCCCGGACGAGGCCGGGGCTCCTCGGGGGGCTCCCTGCGCCCCTCCTCCCCACGAGGCCGGGGCTCCTCGGGGGCTCCCTGCGCCCCTCCTCCCCACGAGGCCGGGGCTCCTCGGGGCTCCCTGCACCCCTCCTCCCCACGAGGCGGGGGCTCCTCGGGGGCTCCCTGTGCCCCTCCTCCCGGACGAGGCCGGGGCTCCTCGGGGGGCTCCCTGCGCCCCTCCTCCCCACGAGGCCAGGGCTCCTCGGGGGCTCCCTGCGCCCCTCCTCCCCACGAGGCCGGGGCTCCTCGGGGCTCCCTGCGCCCCTCCTCCCCACGAGGCCGGGGCTCCTCGGGGCTCCCTGCACCCCTCCTCCCGGACGAGGCCGGGGCTCCTCGGGGGGCTCCCTGCGCCCCTCCTCCCCACGAGGCCGGGGCTCCTCGGGGGCTCCCTGCACCCCTCCTCCCGGACGAGGCCGGGGCTCCTCGGGGGGCTCCCTGCGCCCCTCCTCCCCACGAGGCCGGGGCTCCTCGGGGGCTCCCTGCACCCCTCCTCCCCACGAGGCCGGGGCTCCTCGGGGAGCCCCACCCCCCTTCAGGCCTCAGATGCGGGTGTCGCAGGGCGACGGCCCCCTTACCCGGCACCCCGTTGTCGAAGGGGTAGCTGGCCACCAGGGCGCCGCCGTGCAGGTTGGCGGAGAGCACGAAGGTCTCGGCCTCCAGCCAGGCCATGACGGCCGCCGCCTCAGGCTGCCGCGACACGTCGTTGGGCTCGAAGGCGTCGGGGAAGTTGCGGTTCAGGTCGTAGTGGTTACTGTTCTCCCTTCGGGAGGAAGACGGAGGAGTCGGGGTGCGCTGGGGCAGGCGGGGAAGGGGCTTGGCCGCGCGGGTCTGGCGGTGGGCGGGCGCCGGTGCCCCCAGGGCGGTGGGCAGGGCACGTGGGGGGCTCAGGCCCTTAGATGCCCCCCTGGAGGCCCGAGTCTCCCCCACCGGCCACCTGGGGACTCACGGTGGGCTGGGCACTGGGGGTACGGGGGGGCTCCTGCCCTGGACGCCCCCGCAGGAGGCCCAAGTCGCCCCCAGTGGCCGCCCAGGGACTCACCGTGGGCTGGGGGCACTCGGGGGCTCCTGCCCTGGACGCCCCCCCCCCCCCCGAGGCCCGAGGGCCCCATTGGCCGCGAGACTGGGGGCTGCCACTGAGTCTCCCCGGACTCCCACCTTCCAGGGCCCAGGGTGAACAGGGAGGGTCTAGGTCGCTGAGCGGGGTGCTGGTTCCCTAGCGACGGGTGGAGAGGCGACAGGAACCTCCTCAGTGCCGACCCCTCCTGCAGCGGCCGCTGTCCCTGTGCCCACAGGATGGCCCGACATAGCGGGTCATCGACTGGTGAGGTTATATTTATTTTTGGTAAAAGCAAACAAACGTTTGCCCCCATATCAGTGTCCAGCAGACCCCTGAGAAATCAACCCCCCGGGGGCCACTGCGAGAAAATAAACTGTTTAAATCAGAAATAGTACAAGGCTCTCTCTTCCTCTTTTTTTTTTCTTAAGATTATTTGGGAGGGGGCAGCCCCGGTGGCACAGCGGTTTAGTGCCACCGGTTTAGTGCCACCTGCAGCCCGGGGTGTGATCCTGGAGTCCTGGGATCGAGTCCCACATCAGGTTCCCTGCATGGAGCCTGCTTCTCCTTCTGCCTGTGTCTCTGTGTGTGTGTGTGTGTGTGTGTGTGTGTGTGTCTCATGAATAAATAAATAAAATATTTTAAAAAAATTTTTTGGGAGGGAGCGAGCGAGCGGGCACATGCCCGTCAACAGTGGGGGGGGGGGACAGAGAGAGCAGCAGCTCCCCCCCCCCAGGGGCAGCTGGGCAGCGACAGCGCAGGTCTCCGTCCACGACCCTGACGTCGCCCCTGAGCCGAGGACAGGAGCCAGACGCCTAACTGAGGAGCCACCCAGGCGCCCCCTGACCCCCTCTTCTTCTTTTGATCAGTTCCTGTCCTGGCTTTTAAAAAACCAACTGGTAATTCCCAGGGGCCCTGCTGCAGATTTAGGCCCCGAGATTTAACAGTGCACAACGCGGGCCACAGGACTCCTGCCCCTCCCGGGGCGCTCACAGGTGCTGGGCCCAGTCAGGAGGGATCCCCAAGGAGACCTGAGCAGCGGGTGGCCCGGGGGGGCAGGGGAGCCCGGTAGGTGGCCCAGGAGGAAGGCCGCCTTCTCCAGCCCTCACTCGTCCGCCTCCGGCAGTGGCCTGAAGCCTTGAGCGGCCCAGGCCAGGGCTGGTTCCTGGGGCGCCGGGGGCCCCCTTACCTTCCGTTACTGTAGAAGCAGTCGGGCTTCTGGACAGCCTCGAACCCATCGGGGTTCATGGAAGGCATGAAGTGCATCCGGGTGCTGTTGATTAGGTTCGTGATTTCCAGGTCTTTTCCATCCCTGGTCACGAGGTGCTCGATCAGATGGAGCAGGAGCTCCCGCCCCACGGTCTGCGCAGGTTGAGAGAGAAAACGGGGTGTTACTAGAGGCGGAGGACGGTGAGGAGCGTCGTCCGGAGGCACGGTTTCCCCAACAAGAGCTCCCACTGCCACCCACGCCTGCCCTGACACCACGGTGACCTCCCCACGCGGCGCTCGGGCAGGGGGCCACCGCTCAGCGGCCTGCGGTATTAAAAAAAAAAGTTAATGTTTTAAAAAGCATTTTAAAAAGTATTTTTTAAAACATTTTATTTATTTATTCATGAGAGACAGGCAGAGACACAGGCAGAGGGAGAAGCAGGCTCCCTGCACGGAGCCCGACGCGGGACTCGATCCCGGGACTCCAGGATCATGCCCTGGGCCGAAGGCAGGTGCTAAATTGCTGAGCCACCCGGGCTGCCCCAAGAATTTCTTTTTTTAAAAAAAATAATGAATTAGGTGGAATAAAGGTTATTCTTATTATCATCTCCGTTTTCTCTGCCTTCTGAAATACTGGAGGGGGAGAGCGGGGGGGGGCGCAGGGGGCAGGAGCCAGCCCCCAAGAACACATGGATGGCGACCCACGGGCCGTGTTTCAGACACACGTGGGTTCCAAGAGGGAAGAGTCCTGGTTGGTAATAAGTATCCACACAGTGAGCAAGGTCAGCCCCGTCTGTGCAGCCCCGGTTGCCGCCTTCTTGGGTTTCTGCAACCTCAGCCATTTGCACATCATGCTTTTGTTGGGGGGGAGGGGCATATCTGCATATTATCTATACTCTTGCTTAGTTTTTTTTTATTTATTTTTTATTTTTATTTTTTAATTTAATTTTATTTTTTATTTATGATAGTCACAGAGAGAGGGGGGGGCAGAGACACAGGCAGAGGGAGAAGCAGGCTCCATGCACCGGGAGCCCCCGATGTGGGCTTCGATCCCGAGTCTCCAGGATTGCGCCCTGGGCCAAAGGCAGGCGCCAAACCGCTGCGCCACCCAGGGATCCCTCTTGCTTAGTTTCTATTTTCTTTAAATCAGCTCACTTTTACTTACAAGAAAAACGAAAACCTTTGTGTCCTTAACCATTTTGCCAGATAGGTCTTGTTTGAAAAGCAGGACCATGAAAATAAAGATGATCATATCCAGCTACCATTATCTGATGTATCACCAGCGAGTGGGGACCTCAAGACCCATGAGAGATCTTGCTTCATAATCCTCAATAGTGAGAATTACATTTTTTATTAAAAAAAAAAAGTAATTTGCAGTTCACAACCTGATTATAGAACTAGCCTGACGAGGCTATGTCAACTTGTCTCTAGAATCCTGGGTTCAAAGGAAATCTCCTTGTAGGAACGTTGGCCTCTTACCTAAGATCAGATGCTGCTGTGGGGTCAGTCCCTGGGAAATCTGGGGCACCAGGTGATTTAGGGCTGCGGTGTAGAGGCGCCAGTGTAGGCATGAGCAGGACAAGAGTTTCCAATGAAAACCCCACTGTATGAATTCACTGTTGTGACAACGGATGAGCAAGCCTTGAATGGCAATCTCTCACTGTAGTCCCCTCGTTGGCAAGCAAAGAAACTACATTTTATGAATTTGTAATCCCCATGAACATGGAACCATTGGAACTGGGACTAAGAAAATTTGGAATATGTGAATTATATGTTTACAGGTAGCCATCAGGTCCAGAGCAGAAATATATTCAATTTTGACTTCAATTTTTTTCCTACTTATTTCTATCTTCTACTACTACTACTACCTTGATTTTTGTGTTTACAGTCAAAATTAGCTTGTGGGGCACCTGGCTGGCTCAGTGAGTTAAGCGTCTGCCTTGGGCTCAGGTCATAATCCCGGGGACCTGGGATCGAGCCCCAAACCAGGCTCCCTGCCCAGTGGGGAAGGGGGCATGAGAGCCCATCAAAAGCTAAAAATGATAAATATGTGTGTGTGTGTGTGTGTGTGTGTGTGTGTGTGTGTGTGTGTGCCTCTCCCAGGCAGAGGGAGAAGCAGGCTCCCTGCAGGGAGCCCGACGTGGGACTCGATCCCAGGACTCTGGGATCATGCCCTGGGCTGAAGGCAGATGCTCAACTGTTGAACCACCCAGGCATCCCCCAAAATGCTATATTTTAAATGATTACAATTTCAAAAAGTTTTTCCCCAATTTTCTTTCTTGACTTTGGAAGAACCTGGTAATTCCTTAGGTTGAGAACTTATTTATCAAGTCTACCAATTACTTGAGTTTCACCTCAGTTTTATTCTGTTCACATAACATGAAATCTCATGCTTATTTAAAGGGTACCATAGTCTGACACCCCATTTTATTTTATATCCTTTGAATCCTCCTCATTCTTTTACTGCAGAAATCCAAAGATGTCTAGAACGATATCTGGCAACTATTCATGATGGTTGTTTCTGAGTGCTAGTATTCTGAATGATTTTTACTCCTTTTATTTTTCTGGCATTTTTTTTAAAAGAAAACCTTTATTATTTTTACGAGACCAAGAAAATCCGGATTCTTTCAAGTAAACCAATGTAAAACCAAAGTACTTTCTGTCTCCATATCCCAAAAACATATCACAAGTCCTTAACTGCAGAGGACAAATTTTAAAAATCTTGGAAAAATGGTAAAACACCAAGTAAGAGAATAATTTTTAAAAGGCTGAGTTTAAACAGCTAAAATTTCAGGGAGTTAAAGTCCTCTCTTTCTGTTGGGGCTGTATTTCGCTGCCTTCCTAACAGCAGATTTATGCCAAATATTATTCAAATTAATTCTTCCCAACCTTAATATAAATGTTTCAAGCACTCATTCATGTTTTATGCATAAACTTCCCTTCTTTAAAAATTAAGTCTTTGAATATGAAACCTTAGAGGGTCCAAATTTTAAAAAGGATCACGGTCAAAGCAATCCCAACAGCTTCACCAGCTTTCGTTTAGCACGCCCACTTCCTGTGAGGGTGAAGACTGAATATGAGAATCCCTCCCGAAGACACTGAGAGGCTGGACGCACATGCCAGGTTTGGGGGCCTTTCCCTGATCACTCATCAGCCAGTTAAAATGGTAATAATCCAAATGCAGCAAATAAATTCTCCATCAGTTTTAGTTTCCAGTCAAGGTGGAATCTGCCAGAGAGACAAAATATGCATTCTAGCTCTTTGAAGAATGTTTTATAACAGTGGAAATAAATTTTTGAAGAGTCACCAATCTAGGCAACACATGAGAGTGAGAGCAAAACCCAGCTATCCCGACGACGGAATCTGTCTTAAAAATGCTACGTTATAGTGCAGCTTCTCGGTGGAAAAATAAGCCTGTGAGCTCTGGGGCTCCCCAAACAGTGTGTTATCTATTTAATTCTTTTGTCTGATTGTCTAGATATTAGCCTAAATATTACATTATCTAGCACACTTTTCCCAGGGTTCCAGAGCTCTGCAGGCTTGTGCTCCCCTAAAAGCGCACATACATCTACAATGGCCCCACCGACCTTGACCAACCACCCTGCCCCCCACTCCCTCCTAAGCCTTGAGGGCAGGGACCCTAAGAGGCTCTCTCTGTAGCCCCGTAACTTGCCCAGCTCTGCGGATAGCATGTTCTCCATAAACAATTGTTGAGGACTGTTGACAAACCCGCTACAAGGTCAAGACTTCTAAGGAGGAAATTTCTGAAAACGTGAAGACTTAAGCTGCTAAACGAGGGCAGATGATGTACCAATCATCAAGTTATTTCCTTTGAACGATTTTCAATATTGAACAACTTTCACAGGGGCGGGGGCTTACATACAATTCAGGTCATGCCAGGGACTCAAGGTACCTGATCCCCTAGCCTAACCTCACCAAAAGCGGAGATGGAGAGAAAAAGCATGATTACAGGAGAAATTTAATACATGCTTAAAAGGAATCAGACCCTTCACTTGGAATAAAGATTAATTCTAACTCCAAAAGGAAAAAATTAACAATCTAAAGCCACACTGCCTAACTGAGGGTATTTTGCTACCATCTGGGATAATGATGGAAAAAAGAACTTGGCAAATGACATCTGGAAGGACAAGCTTTACTTTTTTTTTTTTTTTTTTTAGTACATTTGGAACCTGTACTGCATGTTGACTACACATCCCAGATTTTCCAGCCCAGGCAAAATTAAGGTATTATGGCCTGGTGTTCATATAAATCATTAAATACCCTAGAGGGTATTTAATACAAACATCTAAGCACACAAACTGCATCTCATAAATCGTCTCTTATATGCCTAGAAGGTGTGTGTGAGAATCATTTATCCATTTATTCTGTATTTTTAGGTTAAAAAATGTGGTCACTATTATCCAGGGATTGTTTTTGCTTTTAGCTTATATACCTAAAACATAAGAACTACGAATGAATGGCACCCAAATGTGAAGTTCTAAGTGTGATGTGGATATTTCGAAAGGCTACCCAAATAACCCACCCTAGTAAAAGTAATTCATTGATGTTTAAGAAATAGGAGCTTGGTGGGGGCGGGGGGGGGGACAAAAAAGACACTGAATTGGCAATTGGCTCGGGGCCCGGGCCGCACACGTACCTCGTCTCCGTGCATGTTTGCCACGTACTTGAACTCCGGGATCCCGACCCTGTGCTCCTTCGGGAAGCGCCCCACCACCAGGACCCACAGGTTCCTGCCTGTACAGCAAAGACAAGGATAGAAAAGTAAGTTGTGTCCCTGGGAGGTGGTGCGGAGAAACGTCGGCCCGTCTGTCCGACGGTCTGTGGGTCAGGCTCACAGTCCTGGGGGCCCCTTGGCCCAAGCCCTCCCCCTCCGGGCTCCCCTCTGATCCCAGGATGCGATTCCCAAGAATCCAACATGCCTCAGGCCGCAGCCTCTGCATTTCCCCCAAATGCTGATGCCTCAGAGCTCCTGGTGCTTTGGAGAAACCACCCTGCACCTTCGCTGGGTCCCCCGATGGCTGCGGGGGGGAGGGGGGCGCAGAGCCCTGGGCCTCGCATCGGGGTGGCTTCTTGGAGCACAGATGTCGCAGCCCCAATGCCCCGGTGGGGGGGGGCAAGGCTGTAGCCCCCCACTCATCCTGGGCACACAGGCTGTGGGGACCGTGCACCCCGGGGACCCCCACCACCACCCGCTAACACAGAGTTTCAGGATCTTCCAAACACCCAGGCTGCTTAGGATCGGGCAGCTGGGGGGGGGGGGGGGGGCAGTGGCTTGGGCCCTAAGGCCAAGGCCTGACCTGCTCCACTTCCACGCATGAAGTTCCCTCATGGGTGACATGCGGGGGCCCCTCTTGGCCCCAAGTCACCTGTTTTAGCCCATCAGGCTCTTTTCATACAAAGACTTTAAAATCAGACACCGAGGACGATGTTCAAAGTCTGTCTCGTACGTAACAAAGTTCAAAGTCCTGTGACGTCGGAGCCTTCGGGGGCACCGAGAGCCCAGGGGAGGAACTCAACCAGCTTGGGTGCAATCACGGCTCTAGCCCCTTAGGGCAGGGGTCCCCCAGGCTGTGGGCACGCGGCTGCCAATCCAGGGAGAAACACATACTCGGCCTCTTTTTTTTTCACCTTTTCTTTCTTTTTAAAAAGATTTTATTGGGCAGCCCGGGTGGCTCAGTGGTTTAGTGCTGCCTTCAGCCCAGGGCCTGACCCTGGAGACCTGGGATTGAATCCCACAACGGGCTCCCTGCATGGAGCCTGCTTCTCCCTCTGCCTGTGTCTCTGCCTCTGTCTCTCGTGAAAAAAAAAAAATCTTAAAAAAAAATAAATCAAAAAAGATTTTATTTATCTGAGAGAGTGTATGCATGAGCAGGGGGAGGAGCAGAGGAGAGGGAGAGGCAGGCAGCCCAGGGCAGGCCTCCATCCCAGGGCCCTGAGATCATGAGCTGAGCCAAGGGCAGACACTTGGCTGAGCCACCCAGGCGCCCCTTCCCCATTCATTCTTCATTTACTGTTAATATTTTAGGGAAGTTTTTCATGATAGGGTGACACTTTAAATTTAGTAACTGCAGGATTTCTCAGAAAATACCCACAAAAAGCCGTTTATCGGACTGATTAGAACAGAACCCGAATTGGCTCACACATTCCTTCACTTGGGACTACCGTATCCGGGCATTTTGGCAGGTGACCAGACTCCAGTGAGTTTCTGATCTAGTGGAGAATAGCAGCGTGCAAACACATAATTACATTAGCCGGTGACCTATACGGCCAAAGAAGTGGGGAGAAGGTACTGTTGTGTATGTAGAATCAAAGAAATGGTTCATTCTTTCCAAGGAGGGGGATCATGAAAAGGTTTACAGATCTAGGAGTTTATAGATGCCTTCTGAGCAGGGTTTTGAAGAAGGTTCCCACGTTTGCCACGTGGACAAGTATAATCCGTCCAGTGATTTCCCATCAGAACCATTTCTTTTTTTTTTTTAAGACTTTATTTATTCATAGAGATGCAGAGAGGGGGTGGGCAGGAGAGAGAAGCAGGCTCCATGCAGAGAGCCCGACGTGGGACTCGATCCGGGGTCTCCAGGATCACGCCCTGGGCTACAGGTGGTGCTAAACCACTGTGCCACCAGGGCTGCCCCAGAACCATTTCAGTAACCAGAACCTGATATGAATTCTCAGGTCATCTAGAATTTCAATTCTACAAAGTTAATATTTTCATGTAAGCAAGGAAGAAAAAAAATTTTTTTAAGGCTGGGTGTGGAGCCTACTTAAAAAAAAAAACAACAATAAAAAACAAAAGTCTTGAACTTTCAACCCTGAGACCATGACCTGAGCTGAGATCAAAAATCAGATGCTTAACCAACTGAGCCACCCAGGCGCCCCAAGGAAGAACTTTTTCTGAGTGAGCTAATAAACCTGGTTTTTTAGGTTTCCTTCTGAGGAATTCTTTTTTGGTAGCTCTTAATGCTTTTTAAGCTAGAATAATCATGGATTTGTACAGAAGAAGATTTAGTTGCTTCACAGGCAAGGGGGAAAATTCATTAGCATCTCAACATAATATTTATAACGACATAACAACCAATTTGCAACAGCTGGTCTGTCACATAAGACTAGGGTAAGACAACGAAAGCTGGGCAGCCCCGGTGGCTCAGCGGCTTAGCGCCGCCTTCGGCCCAGGGCGTGATCCTGGAGATCCAGGATCGAGTCCCACGTCAGGCTCCCTGCATGGAGCCTGCTTCTCCCTCTGCCTGTTTGTCTCTCTGTCTCTGTGTCTCAAATAAATAAAATCTTAAAAAAAAAAAAAAGACAACGAAACCTGACTTGACACAGCTATCTGGTATCAGCTGGCATAAGGAAGGAGGGAGATCGATAAAACCTAAGTGAAAAATACTTGGTGGGTAACTCAATCCCAATTTTAGCACAGATGGCCCCTAAATGAACTGCAAGATGAGAAATTTACCTTGAATAACCTCAGTGGCACAAAGTTTGAGAATGAAAACCAATCAATAACCCTGGAAGACCACGGCTTTGTAGTACAACCTGAAATCTGGCATTGTGATGCCCCCAGCCATGGTTTTCTTTTTTAAAATTCCCCTGGCTATTCGGGGTCTTTTCTGAATGTGAACTGGTTCAGCCACTCTGGAAAACTGTGTGGAGGTTCCTCAAAGAGTTAAAAATAGACCTGCCCTACGACCCAGCAATTGCACTGTTGGGGATTTACCCTAAAGGTACAGATGCAGTGAAACGCCGGGACACCTGCACCCCGATGTTGATAGCAGCAATGTCCACAATAGCCAAACTGTGGAAGGAGCCTCGGTGCCCATCGACAGATGATGGATAAAGAAGATGTGGTTTATGTATACAGTGGAATATTCCTCAGCCATTAGACACGACAAATACCCACCATTTGCTTCAACATGGATGGACCTGGAGGGTATTATGCTGAGTGAAGTAAGTCAATCGGAGAAGGACAAACAGTGTATGTTCTCATTCATTTGGGGAATATGAATAATAGTGAAAGGGAATATAAGGGAAGGGAGAAGAAATGTGTGGGAAATATCAGAAAGGGAGACAGAACATAAAGACTTCTAACTCTGGGAAATGAACTAGGGGTGGTGGAGGGGGAGGAGGGCGGGGGGTGGGCGTGAATGGGTGACGGGCACTGAGGGGGACACTTGACGGGATGAGCACTGGGTGTTATTCTGTATGTTGGCAAATTGAACACCAATAAAAAAATAAATTTATTATTAAAAAAATAACCCTGGAAGATATTCACGCAAATGCTTTTGGAATGACAAGCATCTTGAAGGCTTTTAACTCCCCTTTCCAATGAACACCAGCCACCCCGGCTTAGACCAGAGCAAATGCACAAAGGACAAACTTGACGTTTCACAGCACGATTTCCAGTGGAAGGTTAATTTAAACACCATCTTTTTCTTCCCCTATCAAGGTCAGAAAGGCTACCCTTATTCCCCCTTTCTAATACCTGGTGTGCTGAAGAGTTCTGAAATGCTTGGCCTTTCCCTTTACTACAAAGTAAATGAAACTTGAATTCCAAATATTTTATTATTTATTTATTTTATTTTAAAGATTTTATTTATTCATTTATGAGAGAGAGAGAGAGAGGCAGAGACACAGGCAGAGGGAGAAGCAGGCTCCCGGTGGGGACCCCAATGTGGGACTCGATCACAAGACCCCAGGATCATGCCCTGAGCCAAAGGCAGGTGCTCAGCCACTGAGTCCCCCAGGCGTCCCGGATTCCAAATATTTTTGTATCTATATTATATTCGGGAACTTCGAAGCTTGACACAAATCCCAGGGGTGTGACACAGGAGCCCAACACGGGGTGTGACACGGTTTGCTTGGAAGATCAGGAAAAGCTTTATAACTTCTAAGGATTCACAAAACCCCAAAGACAAGAACAGCAGGCGATAAGTGCCACAAAGTACTTTTTTAGGAGTTCAGGAGAAAGCAGATGGAGAAGTTTGGAGAATTAAGTATAGCTTCAAGAGTAGAAATGGGAGAAGTGTCATGCCCAGATCAGAACCACCTGGATCCCTGTAAAAATGCCAACCCCCGAGCCCCATGTGCTAAATCAAATTCTAGGGGTAAAGCTCAAAACCTCCATTTAACAGGCTCCCTTGGTGATTCTGAGGCCCGTTAAAAATTGAAAGCTTGCTGAGACTGAGGCAGTGAATCTCCAGACAGATCGAGAGGCGCTTGATTTTTAGGCAAAACCATCTCATTTTGCATATAGTCACATGCTTCTATGTTAACAAAATAAACTTCTACATCTTTTTAACTGGCTGCTTAATATTTTAACACCTGACTATATTAGCACTTGCGTTCAGCCAATGCCCTTTTGTTAGGTGTTCAAAAATATGCAGTTTTATGTGAATCACAGCATCGCTGCCAAAATGACATACAGAATTTCTGACATCACTATTTCATCGTGCAAAAGAAGTCAGAATACCCAAATGTATTACGTAGGGCCACGTCCAACAGACTGCTCGTTAACAGATGAGCCTGCAGCAGTGCACGGCGGCTCACCATGAGCGATGAAGGTTGGAGGATGGGGGGAGAAAGCCAAGAAAAATTTTTCCCACTTCTCTATCCTTCCAGTTTTTTAAAAAACAAAACACCAAATTCTATCAGAGCCTAAGCAGCAGCCCCGGTGCTGAGCCCTGTTCCTGAGCCGCACAACAGCTCATGCAACACTCACAGCTTAGTGTTGAGCA